CTGGATCAAATGGTAGATCTACTTGTATTCCTTTAAGGTATCTCCATATTACTTTCCACAGAGGCAGAACTAGTTTGCAGTCCCACCAGCAGTGTAGGAGTGTTCCTATCTTTCTACATCCACGCCAGCATTTATTGTTTTTGATAAAGGCCATTCTCACTGGAGATAAGTGACATCTCATTACAGGTTTGATTTGCATTTCCCTGATTATTAGAGATGTTGAACATTTTTTCATATGTTTGTTGGCAATGGCCTGTATTCTGTCTTCCTTTTAAAAATTTCTGTTCATGTCCTTTTCCCACTTTTTGATAGGGTTGTTTGATTTTTTCTTGCTGATTTTCCTGAGTTCTAAATAGATTCTAGTTATCAGCCCTTTATCAGATGTTTAGCTTGCAAAAATTTTCTCCCATTCTGTGGGTTGTCTGTTTGCTCTCTTGACAGTTTCTTTGGCTGTGCCGAAGCTTTTTAATTTCATTAGGTCTCATTTATTTATTTTTGTTGATGCTGTGATTGCCTTTGGGGTCTTCTTCATAAGTTCTTTGCCTCGGTCAATGTCTAGAAGAGTATTTCCAATGTTTTCCTCTAGAATTCTGATAGTTTCACACCTAAGGTTCAAGTCTGTTACCCAGCATGAGTTGATTTTTATGAGAGGTGAAAGGTGTGGGTCCTGTTTCAGTCTTCTACATGTGGCTATCCAGTTTTTCCAGCACCATTTATTGAATAAGGATTCTTTTCCCTAGTGTATGTTTTTGTCTGTTTTGTTGAAGATTAGTTGGCTATATGCGGATGGTTTTATATCTAGGTTCTCTGTTCCGTTCCACTGGTCGATGTCCCTGTTCCTGTGCCAGTCCCAAGCTGTTTTAATTACTATACCTTTGTAGTATAGTTTGAAATCTGGTAAATTGATACCTCCTATTTTGTTTTTATTGCCTAGGATTGATTTTGCTATATGGAGTCTTCTCTTGTTCCATATGAAGTGTAAAACTATTTTTTCTATATCTGTTTAAAATGATGGTGGCATTTTGATAGGGATTGCATTGACTCTGTAGGTCACTTTGGGTAGTAACAATGGGTAGTAACATTTTAACAATGTTGATTCTGCTGCCCCATAAGCATGGTGTATTCTTCCACTTGTTTACATCCTCTGCTATTTCTTTCTTCAGTGTTTCATGTTTTAACTAAGCCTCAAAGAATTACCTTCAGTCTGTTCACTGAAACTCTTCCTAAAAAGCTAAAGTTCTGGAAGATAGAGAAAATTTAAGGAAGGACCATGAAAGAATGAAAAGAAAGCTTTGAATAATTGTACTAATACTTGGATTACATAAGTGGATGGGAAGCAAGGTAGTGGAAGTGAAGTGTCATTCTAGTAGGAGAGGGAGCAAGAGTGGAGAGTACCACAATGCTTTCTATTCATCCCAGTTTTTTAGTTAGGTCTGCATTAGAACTTTACGACCTGTTCCTCTGTTTAATAGTCCATAATTAATCTGAATTGGAACAAATGATGCATTTGTATTTGATTAATTGAAGCAACCATATACAAATATCCCTGTATATTGGCCAAATCAAATTTCATGTTGTGATTGGAAATTGGTGGGAGTGTCAACACACCTACATGGAGGACAGTGTTAATGGTTGTTTTAAAATGCAGAGAGCCACGTAAGTGGAGAAAAAAAATCAGAACCAGTAAGAAAAGAAATGACTTATTTTCACATAAGCAATGCTAAATTGCAAAAATACTGAAATTCCTACTAAATTGTAAAATCAAAAAATAACATTAAATAACAAAAAATAACATTAAATGAATAGATATCACCATATGAGAAAATGCCATATCAGGAATAAGGTAGAAAACAACTGTTAAACTTAATTTCATTTCCATGTATTTTTTTTAAAATGCCTCAAAATAGTTAAAATTATTTTGTTAAAATAGTTAAAAATTTAAAAAGGATAATCTAGAAGAAAAACACTTATATACTTTGCATTTATTGTAAATAATGTATTATGCCACATTAATTCACATAATTTTATTTCCTTCTAAAACCGAGAGGACAATCAGTATTTGCACTAAAGCAAATGCTGCCTTCTTATGTATTTCCCAACATAGGGCACATGTGTAGAGAGGTTATTATGGGTTTATGTTCTTCCGTGGCTTGAAAAATAACAGTGCAGATGAAACTTTATTTTGTTTATAGAAGAAGTGAGCCATTTGTGGGGACACAGAAAACCTGAATATTTTCTGCAATTCTGTTTCCATGTAAGCCAGTATCTTGAATAATACATACCCTAGCTAGAGCACTTTGTGTACCATACGGTAGTATTGCAGGCTCAGATAGAAATCCACATGGTGACACTTGGAGCTCAACATGCCCCGGAGGAAGCTGAGTCTGGCACACGGTGGTCAGACCATGAACAGGCATTGAATGAATGAGTCATCATTTGTAATTATTCCAACATTCTTTTTCCTTTTGAAAGAGGCTTTCTTATTTATAAAAATGTCAGTAGATATAAAATTCTAATGAAACAGATAATTATGTTATGAAGATGCTTCCAAATCCTAACTAAACTAAACAAAACACAACAAAGCATTAATTTCGGAAAATACTTAATGTGCTAATAAGGGGGATACAAATATTAATAAACTTTGATTCTTTGGACTCTTGTTAGTTTTTCAGTCTGTACTCAAATGTTTGTGTGCTTATATTTATTATGGTTATCCTTATTATTAAAGTAAAAATAACAGCGAACATTCATTGAGTAGTTACCCATTTTCAGATCCCATGATAAGATCATTACCTGTGTTTTAAAAAAATTATCCTACAAACAACCATATGAAGTTATTGTGTAGATGAAAGCACTATAACTTTCTTATAGTTGCATGGCTAACAGTAGGTTATGTACCCAAATAATCTAAGTTGAGATTCTCTTCTAGGAGTCATGAAATTTTATGTGATAGTATGCAATTAAATTTTATATGGTTTATTATTATAAATCTAAGCATGTATATAAATCTAAATCTAAATCATATTATAAATCTAACCTGTTGAAAAAATGTATTGGATAGCAAATTTATGATTTATGTAAACTGAGCATGTTCTAACTGAACATTATAATTATTATTTTAATCATCAGCCACGCTGTCAGTTTTATTAGTGGCATGGAATACTTTGTGAATCTCAAAGTTACACAAATGAATAAGACAAGAACAACATACTTCTATATTTTCATAATCAGGGTCAATTACAGATAATGTGAAACCACCTATTCTCAATCCATGTGTAGATTAACTACATCTTTAATGGCCATTAATATTTCTTATATTTATTTTTCTCTTGTTTCTCATCAAATTAAGCTCAAGGGAACAAATTGCTGAATTTTGTGTAATTACTTTAAAATTCAAGCTAGGTTTGGATTTCAGAGAAGTAAAATATGTACAGAAAATAAAAGAATTTATTTGAAGGGATATTAAAATTACACAAAAATATATGGCTCAAACTTATATACTTAATATTTTTGGAGGTTATTAGAGTTAATATTTTTTACATTACCTCCTATCCCCAAATGTGTACATGTGTGTGGGTGAGAGAGAGGGAACGAGAGAAAGAGATGAAGGGAGGAGGAGGACAGATAGAGGTGGTGGAATGGCTTATTCTAGCTCTTGAGAATTTTTTTAGTGATAAGAAAAATTCAATAAAATGAGATTGATTAGGATTTTTAGATTTTTAATGTGTTGTAATGTCAATTTAGTACAGAATAAAATGAGGTGGCATATTGGCAATTACCTGGTCTTTCTGTATAGAAGATGCAATACACTCTAATAATCGAAACAAAATTAAGAATAATTCTTCCATACTTTTAAGGAAAATATGCATTTTTTTCAGAGTAGATTTATGTTTTCTTAATTTTCAGTTTGGAAGATATAATTTTACTATTGTATTACTTATATGTGGATCAAATTTAAATGAATTTTATATACATTTCATATTGGTAATACAAAACAGAATTAAGAACTTTGATATTAGCATATTAGGTATGAATAATGCAGGTTTTTAGTGAGTTATTTTTTCAAAACTATTTGCTAAAGAGGTGACATAGTCAAATGTATGTGATTTATATATATTATGTAGAATTAAATAATAAAAATTGAAAATATCAAGTTAGTTCATGTTTTTCCATGCAGAACACTTTCCTAGCTATAATGTAAATTTATATTCTAAAAAAGAAAGGAAGAGTAAGCTTGGCTTCCATGTAGTTCAAGGATACCTACTTGTTATAAGTTTTTTTATTGATCATAACCACATTTTACAGTTTTTAGCTGTCTGTCTTACAACTGGATGACTTGTAAAAACATGGCACTGTATGACATGAACTCGTTTATGTAAATGATACTTCATTTGTTACCCGATTTATTCTTTAAAGGTTTACAAAATGTTTAGTAGAAGGCTTTGAGAATATTTTATGCATAAATTTCAATGCTATGTCTTTTGCATTTGCCTTGATATGTTACACAAATTACTTTATTAAATAATTGTCAAAAAGTTGGACTGTGTTGTGTATGCAATTAAAAATCGTATTGCTCTTCCTGTACATGCTGTGCATGCAAGTGACCCCATGGGTCTCCCAAAGTGAGCCTTTAACATTCCAAAATTGTTACTATGCATCTGTTGCTGGCTTCCGGCCTCCCACCCACACAGGCTGAAACTAACTAAATGAAGTTTATGCGAGTGCAATGAAGTACATAAAGATGAAGTAATAAAATGGGAAGATAGTTACCATACTAGTGGGGTTGCTAAAATAGTTTCTCTAGAAGACTGTATGCACATTTGTTAAAGAAAACAGAATGTTTAAGTAGAAGAACCTAAAAGGTATTTTTAAATGATATTTCTTACATATCTTTTTGTGTTCAATTCCAGATGGGGTTTATACAGCTCAATGAGGACTTCATATTTATAGAGCCACTCAATGATACAATGGCCATAACGGGTCATCCACACCGCATGTATAGGCGGAAAAGGGCCACAGAGGAAAAAGACACAGAGAAGCCAGCTCTTCACAGTCGTTACTGTGGTGTCCTTTCAGGTAATGCCTTCTCCTGACAGGATTTAAGTAAACACAGTGTGAATTGATTCCTTTAAAAAATTCTCTTACTTTCATCTAACTACTAGCTCTATTTATTTATTTTTAATGTAGAATTTCTTTTGGTTAATAGCAATTATATCTATCTGCTTAGAATTATCTTTTAGTATTTTATCAAACACTATATTTTAATATCAAAAAGTGGAAACTCAAAAGAACTTCAGAAATTAACTTATAATATGTCCTATACTTTTCTTGAACTGTGAAGTGTTCTTCATGGGACACTGTTCGCTTCACTGAAATAGAAATGACACAGAATTCCAGATATCCCGAAACCGAGTGCTGTGAGCTCATAGCCTTATTATAGCCCACCTCTATGACAGTGACATGCACATCGCTGTCACTCCTCTTTCTGTCTTCTCCTTCGTCTCTCCTCCTCCCTCCTCCTCTCCTCTCTCCTCCCCTCCTCCCTCTCTCCTCTCCCTCCTCCTCTCCTCCCTCCTCCTCCTCCCTCCTCTCCTCCTCCTCCCTCCCTCTCCTCCTCTCCTCCTTCCTCCTTCCTCTCTCCTCCTCCTCTCTCCTCCTCCACCCCCCCCCAGGGCTCTCTCCCTCCTTCCTTCCTTCCTTCCTTCCTTCCTTCCTTCCTTCCTTCCTTCCTTCCTTCCTTCCTTCCTATCTAAAAATCATTTTGGATGTTAAAATTAGCTGCAGAATAGGAAGAAGAGTAAAGATTTATACTATTGAATTTTATTCTCAGTATTTTAATGCCTTAAGTCTGGAACTTTTCAGAGGCTCATAAAAATTTCCAATTATCAAATCCTCATCTCTTTTTATCTGCCAGTTCTTCGCAGAAATAAAATGGGGATGACTGTTTTGTGCACACTCTTACTTCCTTTAGGCAGAGATCTGTGGCATTTGCAAGAATGAATGATTTCGGTTACATAAGTGGGATCTGAATTTCATAGCCAGCCTTGAGAAAAAAAATGAGTTTCCTTAAGTAAAGTGTTTAGACATCTAATCCAGACATCTCAATGACTAGTCACTGATATGAGAAATATTTCCAATTAGAATCTGAGGAAATAGGAATTTATTGAAAATTTTTCAGTGTAAAGACTTTAAAATTTGATTTGCACATTTGAAATTAAGTGTTAATATAGTTTATGCTAAGATATCAATTCTAAAATTGATTATGGTATTTGAGGCTAGTCTAGGTATGTGAATTGTGACAATAAGTCACATTTGCAGAGACTGTAGGTGGTCAATTGTCAAGTCTGTTCAGGGTGTTCAGATTCAGAAAAAGTTACAATATGTTTCTGTTTAGAATATATTTATCACGAATTAATGTTCTATTTTATTTTGTAAAAACTTATGATATCAGTCTGTGCAGGAATTGTCATCAAAAATGGTTAAATGAATCTGTCTCCAGGTAGTAGTATTTAATGTGCATGATTTAAATGAGCCAATTTAAATGAGACACATCCCCTTCTCTATTCTAAGCACTGTAGATACAAAGGAGATAAAGGTAGTTGAACAAAAGTTATAGCATTATGAACAAACAAAAGAAAAGCTTTAGAATTGTGAAATGATAGAAATAAGAGCAACAATTTGGATTTAGTCCATTTAAGGAGATTCCTTTGTATGAGTTATACTGAAAATCTGCACTGTGTAACTTTTGAATCACAGTAAGTTCCAGCTGTTTTAATTACTCATGTTCATTGATGACACAAAGCAAGCTTTGTATACCATTATGTGTGGAGGAAAGGTTTCTAGAAAATTCTTAATTTTCACAGGTTAATAAAGCATAAGTACCTGGTTCATATTTGGCAAGCACTGTAATGTTTCCGATAGATATTTTTTCTAGGCATGACTGTTACAGATCACTGTCGACCTAGTGGGATCAAGGGATTGCATGCAAGGAGTTCTAAGCTATCATCAACTAGATAATTTACTGAGCTCACCCATTTTCAAATGCTTTTTAAGGATTCGGTAAAGATCATTTTAAAATTAGCAGTCCATGAAATAAAATATTGTTTACTTGTACTGATATGTCCAACTGTAGCTCTTCTCTTCTTACTTCAAGTTGGTGTGTTAACAAACCAACTGCACGGTCCAAATTTTGATAATGTTTTAGTGTTTGCCTTTGTAAAACTGAATCATAAAGTTTACTTGTCTTCAATTTGGCCATTGCATTATTTCTTTTCATCATTTTAATGCCTTAGGTAGATTATTTTTATGCATATTGATTACATGAATTTTTTTTCAAACAGGAACCTTCTCATTTTAAAATGACTTTGTTGTGTTCATTGATTAAAAGATAATATAGGGGAGGGGAAGGCAGATGATGTTAGAGTCAAAGGCCTGGGATTCAGGGCCCAGCTTCAGTCTTGTTCCAGCTAGGTAATCTCGTGCAATTTTCTTAAACTTTTGAACTTTAGCTTCATTATCTGCAACATAAGCACAACCAGCCACCTAACAGGGATGTAGAGCTAAATGACACAGCTCTTATTCTCAAGAGGTAAGCAATATATTATTTTAAACAAACTGGTAAATCAGCAATTATATTGTAGTGGTGATAAGAACTAGGGCAGCCTTAGTACACAAGATACCGAGCTTCTGAAAGTGACAAGCTGAGCCTCAAAGATCAAGTAAACTCACTAAGACCAGAGGGAGAAAAGGGAACAGAGTGTGCAGGTTAAGATAATGGATTTTAGGGTAAGGCTGCCTGCCTGTGTTCACATCGATATGCTCCGACTTCCTAACTGTGTAATCTAGGAAACTTAACTTTATCTCTCAAAAGGTCCATTAACTATATACAAAAACGGGGGTAGTGATACCTGAACCTCAAGACTATCCTCAGAATTAAATGAGATTAGATTATGTGTGAAAATGAAAAACGCATGTGAAGTTTTTAGTGCATATTGTTGAATGTTAATGGGGTGAAAATGTTTCAGGCAGAAGGAACAACACATGCAAAAGTATAAAGTCATAAGAAAGCATTAACCAGGGGAGCAGAACCAAGTTTCTGTACTTGATAAGATATAGCCCTGGAAAAGTCATGACACTCTTTTTGTGAGCCCTGGTAAGGACTTTGTCTGTGACATTATCAATTTGCATTGTTTAACATTTTAGTATAAATTTATGAGTATGTCTAAGACTCAGTGTGAGAAGCAGATTTATGGAGTTGAAGATAAGATTTAAGCAGGACGCAGAGACATCTCTGTTCTCAGAGTGGATGTGGCCAGGCCAGTGCTGCGGCAGCCCACACTGCAGTCGTCGCTGTGTCGGGGACTCCTGTCCGCACGTGGAGGGGACTACTGAGAGCACACGTTGCGTTTCAATTTCTTCTCCAGCTGGAAGTGTGAAGTTTGAGCTGTGTTGCTTATACATGCATTTGAGTAAAACATGGTATAACAAAATCAAAGGAATCAACTTAATAAAATGATTACTTCAGTATTCATGATTTTCACTGACAATGGCTAATTTGTACGACAGAGTCCACCATGAAGTGGAGATTCTTAAAGAACCCATAATCTTCCATGTAGCCTATTTAAATGTAACCGAAAATAAGGACACAGGAGGCTAATGGATTGGGGCCAACACAGCTGTCACTGGCTGCACAGTAATGGAAACATACTTTCCTATCTCTCTCTTACATAATCTCTCTACCACTCTTGATATGGACAAGAAACCCCTCCTTTTATAAACGTTCCCCTTTGTTGCTATTTTAGTTTTCCTTTTATTTTTTTTATGTCTCTGTCTCCTCTATGGACATGTCTTCTTCCACATGTATGCCCCCGAATATAGGTATTTCTTAGGACTGCTTCCTTTTCTTTCTGCCTCTTCTTCCACACACTTTTTCAGGTTGATAGAACCAAATCCATGGATTCAACTTCATATTGGTTAGTTCCAAACTGTTTCCATTTCACCTTCTTTCCTGACTTCTAGATACGTAGTAACCTCTATTTAGATGTCCTCCACATCTCAGATTAATAAATCTGAGACTGGACCCATCAATTTTCCTCTTAAACTTCTCTCTGATACACTCCCGCCCTGCCACTATTTATCTATTCTCTAGAAAATAAAAAGTAACTCCTCCCAAATCAAAACAAAAAACAGCAAGAACAAAAAAGTGTCATTCTAACCACTTCTTGAGTTTACTCATGGTGGTGTCTGCCTCCTAATATTTTACCTATTAGCTCTTCCTTCCACTTCTGCTTCATCATCACAATAAGAACATTTGTAAAAAATGTATCACATGCCAGTTCTATTAATAGTAGGTATGTTACATGTGAAAGTATATTTTTATGTTTACTGTAATCATATAAGTAGGTAGTATTTTTGTTATTTTACAGACAAAAAATAAAAATTAAATGAAAGACATTGAAAGACTTAAGTAAGTACCCTAAGCTTTTGTAATGGCATGCTAGGACCCATACTTGTGCCTGGACCTTATCTCTGTAGCCAGTTTACGTATTGCTTGGATTATTGCAGTTTATTGTCTCCTGTATGTCTTCTTGATTTCAGTCTAGTCCTCTTATAATCTAGTTTCCAAATTTTCTAAAAGATGCATTTGATGTTTTGTTCTGGGATTCTCTATACCTTCAAAGTAAAATTCATACTCTTTAGTTTGGCATACAACCACTTGAATATGGTAGGTAGGTTACCTGTACTGAAATCACCTGGAGATTGGGGTTAAAATACAGATTTCTGGACCCTGTCTATATATACCAAGCCAGAGTTCCTGAGGCTGCCTTTGCACGTTGTGCATGTGACTTCACACATCAGGAAATATCGATCCGCTTGTCTGTCTCCTGAGCTTTTCCAGGGTGGGAACTCTGCAGTAGGCCTGATGGAGTGCTGGATGCAAGGTGGCCTCAGTTTCATTCCATGATTATTATTACTGCATGTTAGAACCTGGGCATGTAAATTTAAGTTCAATACAGCCTCTAAAGACAAAAATATGGGAAGCCACAATCTTCTTTGTGAAAAGTAACAGAGCAAGATAAGATTTCGATAATAGGTAGCCCATACAAAATTTTAAAAAAGACCTGAGAAATAATAATTATTTTTCCATTGTTTTTCACTAATAGTTTGGATATTCAGACAATAATCATGCAAACTTTGTCCTGTTAAGAGTTGAGATAAATGCATTTTTCCCAATGGACCTTTTGTTATCCAGTGGTAGTCATTCGGAGTAGCCATTTCTGTCAATGAAGGAGTAGATATCCATGATTTTTAATGGGTCAGAAAGTGTAAAATTGTTTTATAAAATCACATTTCCTAAATTGTTTTTTCTTTTATATTTGCTGCAGCCATCACAGCTCAGGACGTGAAGTCCCAAGTCTAAATGAGAGCTCGCCTTCTTTCTGTCTCCTGTGACGCCAGCTCTGCACCCTAATCTGTCTCTTCCTCGAGCTCCAGGAGTCATTTCAGTGATACTGTGAAGGAGACTATACTGCTTACCTTTCTGCCCTGTAGCCTTCCAGAATGTAGTCCAGTTCCCTCTTTTATAAAGGAAAACATCCTGGAGGGGAGAGAATTTGATGTGGGGTGTGGCCTCATTAGATTGCTTAAATACAAATAGATGCCCTAGGAATTTTCTTGTGTTCTGAATGCCCAACAATAACTTTAGTATGACCAGTGATTATTTACTCTAGGTTTTAGTTAATTTTATTTGATAATCAAAGGGCAATAGTTTGTTAAAAATCAAAATTTTACTGAGAGGATAGAGTATATGCCTAGGTATATCTTGACCCATGTAACTGTGCATGTACCCATACTTAGAAATATAACAACTATGGAGCTATCTGAAAACACACTTCATGTTTCCGTATTGAAAATGTCATCATAGTAGCTAACATGTATTTCACATTTAATACGAGTTAAACATTGCACTAAACAAATTACATATACATGTATACATATCCCTGTTCATGTCTAATTTTTATCTGTAATAGAAACAGAAGCAGAGAAATTAAGTTTTCGCCCCAATTGTCCCAAAGCTAGTAAGTGGCAGAGCCAAGATTTGTGTCTATGCATTTTGACCACAGACTTGGTTTTAAAACATCTACTTAGATTGTGAATGTCATGAGGTTTAATTGGACCTATAGTGGAAGGCTTGCTTAAAAATAAATATTGTCTTGACTCCTCTATAATTCTGTTTAAAAAGTGATAAGCTTTATTGATGCATATTTTAGGGTATTCTGGTTTAAATTTTTTAGGTCATGCATTGCATTTACAGTTAATTTACTAGAATAAGATACTCTATAACAGAAAACTCTTTCTAATATACTTAGTGGTTTATTAAAAACATTTAAAATGATATAGTGATATTACCAATCTCGAAAAGGAGTTTATGTTTAAAAAATAGCTTCATAGTTTTAATCTAGTTTAAACTTTCATCAAAATGATTCTAAAAGTTGTTTACACATGTTATTTGCAGAAAAGTGATTATTATATATTGATCCCTTTTGAGGATCTGACCATTTTAATTTTAGCAATAGTTATGCCACCTTCTTTTTGTAGTTGAAATGGATTTATTTTCTTAAGACTAGAGAGTAACTGAGAGCCATTAGATAGATATTATTTGTAGTAATTTATAACACTTTTAAAGCAGAGGAGACAAAACATTATTTCAATGAGTCTTTACTGGGTACTATTATCCTGCTCTGGAGAGAAATTCAGCGAGATAGGGAGGTGAGAAATGCCAGACGAGGTAGAGTAGGGTGGGTTCCTTTTATGGCCAGAGGTTAGAAAGGCTTCTTCATATAGAATGTGTCAGTAACACATCTGGAATAGGTATCTTTTGGTCAAGAAAACAACTAGCCCAAAGTTCCTTACCAGTGAGCATGCCAGGGCCGATGGGATGGGGTGAGCAAAGGAGAGATAAGTGGGAGAAGGAAGAGATGGGAGAGGTCTTGGGAGATAGATGGTAGACCTGTTTGTCCCCTACTTGCTTCAAAATTATACAGCTATAAGATATTACATGAAAGTCTGTTGTGTTTTAAGACAAACTTGAATTCTTTATTTAACATTGATAGAATTCATTGAAAAATTAGTTAACAGATCATCTGGCAACATTCAGGCTGCAATATTTAGAATGCATGAAATTACTTTTAGGGCCACATATAGACTGAGGGTCATTCTTTTAGTACATATTGATGGCTCTTATCACATGGCACGTAATAAGCAATGGAAACACTCTGTCCTTGCTTTTGTGGAGCTGCTAATTTTGGGGGGTGATGGAGACAACCAGGCAGGTAGCTCGGAGCATGACACGAGTGGATTATATTAAGGAATTCACAGCAGGCACCTAACTCTGAAGGGCGATGAGAGCCATCTGTATTAGCTACGGTGCAGGCTAAATGGCTGCAGCAGAGACCTCAAAACACGATGGTCCAAATAAGGTAGAAGATTATTTCTCCAACATGTTTTGGTACAAATGTGTGCAGGAAGACCAGGGCAGATTAGTCGCTCTGACCCATGATATCATCCAGTGACCTGGATTTCTTCAATCTTATTGTTTGACATCCCCCAAAAGTGTTATCTTCTGCAGTAGCCACCTTAGCTTGCCATACTTTGTCTGGATTCTAGCCTATGGAATGAAGGAAATAAAGGAAGACACAAGCAATTTTCTCATAAAGAGTGACCAAGAAGCTATACATACCAGTTCTTTCAAATTCCATCCTTTAATACTTACATAGTTATACCAAGTTGAACAGCAGGTTGAGAACAGCAAGTGCTGGTAGAAAACAACAGTGGGAATGGGTGTGGAGAAGGGCCTTCTATTACTAAAGGAAAGAGAGGGAGACTGGATATTGATGGACAATTAATAGTCTCTGCTACAGCATCTAACCTACAATCTAAGAATGGGGAGGTGATAACTAAGAGAAAGTAAGAGAAAATATGGAAAAGTGTCCAAGTAGAAGGAGGTGCCACTTTTTGGTTATTGGATGCATCCATATTATTTTCATTTGCTTGGTAGATATTAACCCTGGCGAGAAGCTGTCACTTGTCACACTTGGTGAGCATGTGCTGGGTAGTATCCAGTTTCTCGTTTCTTTTTAATGTCGTTGGCATGTTCATCCAGGAAAGGCGGTGCCAGAAGTACACACACACACACACACACACACATATAGGTATAATGGGATGTGTATATCTCATGATTAGCTTATAAGGTGTTGATCCTGCCAAGATGAGTTTCTTCTGATACTTGTAGAGATGTTCCCTACTAAGTATCTACCTTAAGTTTATATCATAACATACTAATGTGTGACTTTAGGTAGAACTGATATCACAATTTTAAAAACTACACAATTAATTTCTGACTATCTTAGACTTCAAGATACTCATAAAACCAATTTCTTATTTCGTCCTTCATTAAGGTCTTTGGTATTAACTGCTGATGCTAAATCTGGATCCCTAAAATTTACTTTTAACTATAGTAATTGTATTTCAGATGGCTACTGTTGTTTTTGTCATTTTTCATTGCCTTGTTTCATAAATAAGTAATGTTTGCATTTATTTTCATAACATGCTAGTTAACTGACTCTAGGTGATATTTGGGTAAGACTTGGTTTCTTAGGTAATTTTTAAATTTGTGTCATTGTTCGAAAAAATGAGGAACAGTAACTTCTGGGGATAGTCTAGACCAGGGGAGTCTCCAGCAATGACGGTGAGATCCTGGTCATGTTATATCTCAGAGCTGACTCAGATGGGCCTAGAAGTCAAAATAATAGGTCAAAAATCCAAGATATAAATTAATCCTGTAGCTAGGAAAAGATGTTAGGGGGCAAAGAAAAGTAGAATAGGTGGTTACTAGAATAGAATAGAATAAGGAAGCTAACGCCAAGGCACCTGGAACAAGATTCAAGTTAAGTAATTTATTAGAAACCAAGAAGATAAACTAGAATTATGAAAATACATATGCCTGAATTCAAAACAATGTTAAAGATATCCAGGGAAATATGACTAATTGAACAAGTGTGTTTCTCTTCACACTTCCAGGAACTCCACTGAAATTAAAGTTAAAGAAATATAGAATCTGTCAGTCAACAAGTACAAGTTTGGGAAAAGAGATGATAGCAGTTTAGAGACATCAACAGAATTTTGGTAAATGGAAAGGACAGGAAAAGTGACAGCTAATTTAACAATGGACTGTGGAGATGGTTGCCCAACTGTAGAAATTTATTAAAACTGATGGAATAGTACACTCAAATGGCTGCATTTTGTGGCATGTAAGTTGTACCTCAATAAAGCTGTTAAAAATCATAAATTGATTATTGAATCACCACATGCATACAGGAAATTACACAAATGATATATCCAACTGCTGAATTTTCCCAAAGTGAATATAACCATCACTTCTACCCAGAGCAGAATATAGAAAATATCAGCACCCAGATATCCCTGTGCCCACTCTTGGGCACTAACTTCTACTCCAAGATACTCACTATCTTGATTTCTAACACTCCTTTTTCCCAGTTTTTGATGTGTGTATAAATGGAATCACACTACCTAGTATTTTGTAATTGGCTTCCTTTGCTCAGCATTGCGTATGAGGTTCATTCATATTAATATTTTTTGGGTGTTGTAGCAGCTGGTTTCTTTTCATTACTATACAGTATTTGTTTATGTGACTAGGCCCAAATTCCTTTATCCAGTACTATTAATATTAATGATCATTTGAAATATTAAAAATGGTGCTACTCTGAATAATTTGCACATGTGGTTTGCTGGATATGCAGATGCTCAGCTTCAGTAGACACTGTCAACCAGCTTTTCAGAATGCTTATTCCCATCTAAACTCCCTGCATGTTTGTGTGTGGGACTTCCAGCTGTCCCCACATTCTTGTCAGCACTTGATAAAGTCAGTCTTTTTAATTTTAGTCATTCTAGGGATATAAATTTATTTGATTTATTGTGGTTTTAATTTGTATTTCCCTGAAAACTAGTGAGAGTGAGCACCTTTTCATATGATAATTACTATGTAAATATTCTATTGTGAGAAATGACTGTTCCAGTCCTTTCCCATTATTCAATTAGGCTATCCATCATTGATTTAGAGTAGCTCTTTATTTCTTTATTCTGAAAAAGTATTTCAAGTATCTTTTCCTACTTCCTAGCATGCTTTGCATTCTCATAGTGACATGTTTTGATAAACAGAAGTTCTTAATTTTTATGTAGTCGAACTTACAAATATTTTTTGTTTGCAGTTACTGTTTTTAATTGCCTCTGTTTGAGGAATCTATAGTCCTCTAAGGTAATAACTTCTAGAAGCTACTGATGGAAGGTGGAGCCAAATCCTTTGTGATCCATGTATAATAATTTAGTAATCAGGGACACCTGCCTGAAATTAGGATATGGGGAGAAGTCATTTAAGCCACTTCTTGCAAGTAGACCTTCATTTTGCCATTGGTGTCAGAAAGAAAGTAATAGTATCTTGTATTTATTGAGTTATTTTGTTTATATGGAGCTCTGTACTAGACATTTTACTAATGTGATCTAATTATAAGTCATCAATAGCTCTAGAAGGTACATGGGTGTTATTATCCATTTTACAGATAAGGAAACTGAGGCTGACTAGATAATGTTAGTGTTCTAAAATGGCAGAACTAATAAGTGGCAGAAGTCCAGTCTATCTGATTCAAAAGTCAGACTCCAAAGTCAAATGCCCTTTCAGATCATGCGTGCAGGGAAATTATTTGATTTCGCTTACCATTACAGATGCTGGATATTATTCACTTTGCTGGTATAGAGATGCATTTAAAAATTCAATTCTCTGTTGCAGATAAAGGAAGATCTAGGTCTAAAAAAGTACCAGAAAGTGGACGAGGGAAGCGATATTCATACAAATTGCCTCAAGAGTACAACATAGAGACTGTAGTGGTTGCAGACCCAGCAATGGTTTCCTATCATGGAGCAGATGCAGCCAGGAGATTCATTTTAACCATCTTAAATATGGTAGGCAAACTTTAAAGTGCACTTGGAATTTTTCAAGAAAACTCTAAGGAAGAAATGTTTGAGTATTTATAATGAAATGTAAAAAAAATTCACCTATAACTATTCCTTTCTTTTATTGACATCAGTAAAAAAGAAAAAATAGGTATAACAAATTGATCCATCTAAAAAACCATTTCAAAATAATGATTTACATCTTCTAGTAAATAAAACAGCTTCATTGTTAATTTTGATGTGACAAAACTCTGTTATTCAGTTCTCTCCTTTTTTGTGCCCTTCTTGTCCTTCTCTTTTTACAAAAGGCCATTTGTTGAACTTAGCAGAAAGGTTGTATTTGCTTATACACATGGCCCCACTGGAAGGACTGTAGATTAATATGAGGTGGTATAAAAGTGATTGTTGCCAATCCACTGAACTCCTACATAGGTATATAAAATTGGATGTCAGATGTGATTATAGGTGATGAATAAAAGCTAACAGCTAATAGCTAACATTTTAACCAGCTGAATTGCAGGTGGCTAACTTTGGTTGAAGATTTCTGGACTGTGGAAATCCAGTTTATTTCTAGCATCTTAGGGATGCTTACTACCAATTTAATCCTTTGACTTAATTGTATGCTCTGATGGGTAAACCTCTTTCAAGGAAAAATCAGAAGGTTGGAATAAAGAGTGGTTCTTAAAAGAGAATAAACAGAGATTAAAGGCAAGTGTCTATTTATAATTTCAGTTACTATTTAAGGCATGGTGAGAACCACTGATGTGAGGACAAATATATTCCCATTTTTCCTGTTTTTGCTACCATTTGGCTGTCTTTCCAGTGGACAGAGTTTGTTCACACTTCAGGTGTTTCTGTCCGTGTTCGGCCACCTCCGTGCGCTCCACTCGTGTTCTGCAGGGGTGGACTAGCAGAGCCTGACGACTTCAGTCTCTTCTAGGTGGTGTTTATAATGTCTCTGACAGCATAAGTTTGGTGTGCCAGTTATACATTTTCAGATATAAATTAAATAAGCACTAAGTTGTGTGTGTGTGTTTTTTTTTAAATCAAGGTACCACATTAAAAAATCATCTCCTTGCTTTCCCACTTTTTTTTTTTAAAATAAGATTTCTCAACTAAATTGAGACTTCTCCTGTGTCTGGGCCTTAAGAAAAATTAAGATGTTTTTCAGTTTCATTTTAGGATTTTTATTTTTATTTGTTTTTAGGTTTTTAACCTTTTCCAACACAAGAGTCTTGGTGTGCAGGTCAATCTTCGTGTGATAAAGCTTATTCTCCTCCATGAAACTCCAGTAAGAAAGTCTTGAGTTTTTTATTCAATTAAGTGGGTGAGAAATTGTCTTCAGAAATTTTTAAATAAAGGAATATTAAGAATGTACTTTTATTGACTTAAAAACCCAGAAATATTCACTGAGACACTTAAAGTATACCTAAAATTGGCCTTTTGTTTTGGTTAATACCTCAATTTTATTTGAAAAATGGAATGTTCTTAGTTTCCAAGGATCCTGAAAATAAACCTTAACTTTACAAAATTTAATTTAAAAAGGTCATTTAAATGACATTTATTCTCTTATTTAAATGTCTGCTCTTAAAACTTTTTCTTATCTGTAATTGATTTTAAATGGAGGATGTTTGTGGCATCATTTTGACATGCTGATTAACAGGCACTTTAGAAAACTTTGGTAGAAATAATGAGTTATGCCTAAAAGTTCCACATTCTTAATGTTCCACTGCACCTCTTTCCTTTTCAGAATAGCATTATAAGGTGCACCTTCACAAAGTTATAAGATTTTTAGCTCAGGCTAAATTAATGTCTTCCAGGTTCTAATTAATGTTATGGTCAGCAGTCTGCTTTAGTAATTCAAGAAGGGCCTTTAGTTCTCAGTTTTTTATATACTTACATGTAATTTGCCTTGAAATGAAATATCTTTGTTTGCAGGCAGATCTCTATATTGGGCACCATGGAGAGAAAATGCTAGAGAGTTTTTGTAAGTGGCAACATGAAGAATTTGGCAAGAAGAATGATATACATTTAGAGATGTCAACAAGCTGGGGGGAAGACATGACTTCAGTGGATGCAGCTATACTTATAACAAGGTACATTTACATTTTCCAAAGCCAATTAAATGGCATTCCTAATTCAGTGGCTATGCTGTTAATCCCATTAATCCCTTGATACAGTGCCTTTATTCCAGATTTTGTGCTCCAAAATGTTTGGTATAATAATGTTTGTCATCTCCCTCAATTCATAATACTGATTTCTGAACAGTCATTGGATGGCTTATTGAAAACATATTTGGTTAATTTAAAATAAAAATTTACCCTAAATTTTTGAAGTCAAAGGCATAGCCATTGATGATGATAAGTTAAAACTGTGGTAAATTTCAGTGGAGCTTCAAAATTATCAACCTACACTGTGTATTTTTCAGTCATCACAATATAAAGTAACCTAATATGTTAAATTTCACAATTGACAGACTTTCTGGTTCCATCTGAGAAAACAGTTTCACTTAAGTCTCCAGCTAGTTAACTACAAGTTGCATTGTGAATGTACTACTCACAAACATTTGCAGTACTGCATTAAGTATAATATGTAAATATAAGAAGGTGGGACAGTAAGCAACAATAACTTCATATGGGCACTCTATGTTAGTAATTATTTATGAATTTGTCTTGCTTAGAGATGTTACCAATGAATGGCAATTCATTTTGCACTAGCAATTTAATTTTAGTCATCAAAAGCATTAGCATTTCACATCACAGAAAGCACAGTAACATACTTAAACATGATTTTCTGAAATTCATTTGTTAAATTCATGATAGCTTCTTGTTGAAGAATTGTATTATAAATTAGGGTTGAAAAAATTCCATAATGTTGAAAAAAATCTTTATGCAAGAGCACAACTAGATTTCTACTTTCAGCTATGTAGTTGTAACTGATACTGGACTTCTTCAATAAATGATCATAACATTGGAAAAGGCAACTGCTTTTAGTCATTGGAGAATGAGCTGTGTAGGTCTGCAATCCCTGAAAGAAGGAAAATTTATTAGGCAAAGCCTCACATTGAACCCAGCTTTTTGCCTGGAGACTATTTCTTGACTGGTGCAGAAGTTGGAATCTAGTGAAAGCACAGTGGCCCTGCTGAGGGCACCAGAGATGAAAGTCCTGTGTGTGGAAAGGTGCCAAGAATTACATGTGCAGATCATCTGTTAGAACTCGACAAGGGCTGGTCTGAATACATACAGAGAGAAACTGCCCCAAATGCACTAGAGTGTTGCTGGTATGGAGTTCAAATTTTAAAAGGGTATTAGGAATTGAAGAAATTCAAGTGACTGGAGTGGAGTAATCTTCCGATATCTTGTCATCACTCCTAGCATTTATTTAGGAGATAAAACAAAAAAGGTGTACCTTCATGTAAAAAAATGTAACTCAGAGAAATGCCTACTCTCGACCTGCCCTAACAAAGCTTGAAACCAAGCACCAGCAAGATCTTTAGGGAAACAGAGTTTGGAGGCAGAGTCCTACCAATTTATAGAGGCTTGGAAATCATCTTGGGCTTTATATACATCCTCCCCACTAAAGAATAAATTCAAACTTACCCAGGTTCAGGGTGATAAGCCAATAATTCACCTGCCTTGAAGATATTCTTCAGAGGAAGACAGCTGAATCCTGAGTCTCTAAAATATGTTATCAACAATGTCTAGAGTATAATAAAAATTACTCAAGCAAAAAACATGAAAATATGACCTATGGTCAAGGAAAAGTAGTCAACAGAAAATATCCTTGAGATAGCCTAGACATTAGATTTGGCAGATTAATGTATTTATAATTAGAGTCTCAGAAGAGAATAAGTATGGGTAAAAAAAATTACTTGAGGACATAGTAGTAGAAAATTCCTCATATTTGATGACAACATATAGAGCCCTAGGCACATCATAGGAAAATTGCAGAAAACCAAAGTTAAAGAAAAATTTTTCAATCAGCTAGAGAAAAGAAATACATCTGATGTTCAGATCAATGACTGTCTTCACATCAAAAAAATAAGTTCAAAATACAATGAAACAATATTATTTATTTATTTTTTATTTCGGCATGTTATGGGGGTACAGATTTTAAGGTTTCAATAAATGCCCTTCCCACTCCCCCCCCACAAGTCTGAGTTTCCAGCATGACCATCCCCCAGATGGTGCACATCTCACTCATTATGTATGTATATACCCGCCCCCCTCCCCCCTCCCACCTGCCCAAAACCCTATTACTGAAGATTTGGAGAAAGAGAAACTCTATCAACCAACAATATTAATACTTATTGAATTCTTAAGGGTACTATCTTAATCTCTGAAAAGATAACTATTAAAAAAATCTACAGCTAACATTGTACTTAAGGGTTAAAACAGAATGTTTTTTTCTTAAGACTGACAGCAAGGCAAGGATGTCCCCTCTTACCACTTCTATTCAATATTTTACTAAGAATCATAGCTAATATAATAAGATAGGAAAAAAGATACGGAAGAGATGAATATTAGGAAGAAAGAAGAAAAACTCTCTTTTTTCACAGGTGATATGACTCAGTACAAAGAAAGTTCAAAGAAATCTAGCAAAAAATTGGCCAGAATTTATAATTGGATTTGCAAGACCTCCAAATATAAAGTCAATTTACAAAAAATAGTTGTATTTATATGTATTGAAAATAAACAATTGGAAAAAATCTATAGGAACTTCCAAATCCATGATATATACTTAAGAATGATTTTAACAAAATATATAGAAAAACCTCTAAAATGAAAAGTATACAGCACTATTGAGAGAAATTAAACATCTAAATAAGGTTCATTCATTGGAAAACTAAATATTATTAACATGTCCATTTTCTCCAGATTAACTTATTGACTGAGTATGATCCCAATGGAAATCTCTCTGGGCTTTTTTTAAAAATAGAAATTGACAAGCTGATTTCAATATTTATTTAGAAATGCAAAAGATATAGAAGAATCAAAACAGTTTTGAAAAAGAACAACAAATTGGGTGGACTTATACTATCTGATTTCAAAACTTACTATAAAGATTAGGAAATGAAGACAGTGTGGTTTCAGCAGAAAGTGATATAGATGAATAAAGCAGTATAAACAGTCTGGAAATAAACTCAGATATATATGGCCAATTGATTTCAGTAAAGCCGCCAGCATAATTCAATGATGAAAAGATAGTCTACTTGTAAAATGGTACTACAATATCTGGACACTTGTGTGAAAAAAAATATATGTCAACCCAGTTAACATCATGTGTAATGTTAATTCAAAATGGATTATAGACTTAATCATGAAAGCTACAAGTCTATTTTAGTAAAAATCAGAGAAGAAAGCCTTCATGAACAAGTGGAGGACAATAAGTTTTTAGACAGGATGCAAAAAAAAAAAAAATCAAAAATATTGATAATAATTTGATCTTCTCCAAAATGAAAACCATCTTCTGTTCAAAAACCATTCTGGAAATGAAAAAACAAGCCCTATAATTTAAGAAAAGAGTTGTCATTCATTTGTCTAGCAAAGAACTTGTATCCAGAATGTGTACATGTATATGTGCTTTATGCACATATATAAATGTTTAAAATTCAATAATAAAAAGAAAAAATATGAGTCTTTAATAAGCATAAGAAGAGATGCTCAACAGCATTAATAATCAGGGAAATGCAAATTAAATCCATACCTGTGAATGGCTTCAGTTTAGAAAACACTCAAAATGGTGAGGATATAGAACACTCCTCATTTGTTGGTGAGATTGTAAAATGATTCAATCACTTTGGAAAGCAGTTAGTTTCTTACAAAGTTAAGCATTCACATACCATATAACCTACATTAGCTTCTAGATATTTAACCAAGAAAAGTAAAAACATTTACTCACAGAAAACTTTCACTTGAAAGTTTATAGCAGCTTTATTCATCATTGCCAAAAATTGTCAGTAACTTAAAAGTTCATTTACAGGTGAATGGATATATTGTGTATTCACACAACTGAATACTCTTCATCAAACTACTGATAAATGCAACAGCATAGAAGCGTATCAAAAACATTATATACTGAGTGAAAAAGCCAAATTAAAAATCGAGATCAGAGGATTATTGCATTTATGTAAAGTTGTAGAACAGGCAAAGTTAATCCATGATGTCCTATGTGGCCAGGTTGGAGGGTGGGGAAACTGACTACTGAGGCACAGAGACTTTCCGTGGCCATGGGAACATTGTCTATCTTGCTGTGAATATGGGAGTTTATACATTTGTCAAGATTCAGCCATCTGCTCATTGAAATTATGTGTATTTAATGTAAATTCTACCATAAAAAAGTTGGTTAAAAGAAAGAACAGTAGTAAATTGAAGCTGGTAGAGGGGGTAGAAGGAAGACCTGCGTGGATGGAGTGGAGACCTGCAGCAGGGTGGGTTGAGGTGAGTCTGAGCCAAACATCTTAGATCCATGAGTCTCTTCCTTTCTGTAGTAGCAGATCTTGGAAAATATTGGTTATGGGACTAAAGAGAATGATAATTATAATTTGATTACTAATTTATATTTTCCCTTGTTACAAATACAATGTATTTATTATGGAAATTTGATAAATACAAGAATAAGGATAAAAATTAGTCTATAATCCTACTACCTAGGAAGAATTGTAGTTAACATTTTTAAGTATATTTCTTCAGTTTTATTTTATGATTATTTATATAAGTAAATACATATATTTACAATACTGGGATCATAGTCTACATGCAAGGTTTGTTTCTCCCCCAACAATGTTGTGGCATTAATTTTATTCCTTATTTCCAATGCCATTTATCTCCTCAAAAATCTAAAAAAAGTTAAAAAATTTCCTACATCCAATATTCAGCTTCTTTCTAGAGGATCAAAATGATGTACTTTTATTTTGAAAGTATTCAAAGTTTTTTTGTGGTGTGGGGGATAGAGATTTGTTTGCTTCCTAGACCTGTGATCATGTGGATTCAAATTCTCTGTTTTGGCTCAAGTAGACTCAGAGCGCCTGAAGTCTGCATCATAGAGTTTCATTATGTGAGTTTATGGAAATGATAGTGTTAGACTTTGGCAACTG